GTGTGTGTGTGTGTGTGTGTGTGTGTGTGTGTGTGTGTGTGTGTGTGTGTGTGTGTGTGTAACCAAGAGTATGATGAATACTTCTCTCTGAAAAATGATGTAGGTTTATGGAAAGCTGCAAGATATGGATAGCAGCTACAGATGCCTTACAGAGAGGACAGGACCCCCATCCTATCCCTAGATTGATCATATTCTAACCCAGACACGTTATGGTGGGTAATAGTTCTCTAGAGGACAGGAGCAGATATCTGTGATGAGATCACTGTTAGAAAGCTTTGCAGGGGGATGCAGGGCATAATGGTAGTTGAAGTTTCTTGGTTTGTTAGAAGTGATCGGTTCATCCCAGGCAGAGGGGACAGCATGAGAAAGATTGCAGCCTGATGAGGAGAGCCATAGGGACCAATGGGAAAAAAGGCTGAGAACAGGGAGAAAATGAGTATAAAGGTGTATGTGAGGGCAATGTAGGGTTTGGGTCACGTCCAGAGATGTCTCATGCAGTTTGTTTTTTTTTTAAGTTTGTGGGAATTTTCACTCAGCACCTTAGGAAGTGTTTCATTATTGGTTATTTCAGTGATGGGCATTCTTCCTTTTAGGCCTAGAGCTGGGCTTGTTCTGTCCTTCCAGAGAGATCCCATGGATCTGCAAGCCCAGATGTGACCAGTAAGCTTAAATACATTATCCTGTAAATGCTGTGATTTACGAGAAAAGCTAAGTGTAACATGCTTGAATAGCTTGAAAGAGGGGCCCATGAGCAATCGGCACATTAATCTGCAGTGTTTTGGAGGACCTAAATTTACATGCTGATACTTTTTTTTTTTTTTTAGATGGCATAATTTTCTCATGTAGAACAGTGACTTTCCAGGCCTTTGACATTTTGATCTGAAACTCCTCCAGATTGAGACAGCTTATTGGCTGTATGATGAATTTGAATAATTCTTCAGAATTATAAGAACATAGTAGGCAAGATATGGATTATGTTGTTTCACATAATGAAAATAGGAATGGGTGAGTCTTAAAGGGCCTATGAATCATTGATTTTATTATTATTTTTTTTTTTTTCATGAATTTGCTCTCTTTCCTGCAGCCTGGGGTTCAATATTTTGCTTTATGGACTGGGCTCAAAGAGAGATTTGTTAGAGAAGTTTCGTACCTCTTTGCTTCAAGATTCAGTTCACCTTGTGGTCAATGGTTTCTTTCCCAGCATCACTGTGAAATCAGTAAGTGTAACAAAAGCTTGAGGGGTTCCAGTACAAATTATATCCTGTAGACTGCAGGCAGATTTCTCAGTGCCTAAGCACAGACTCCTGCCTGAAAAGCATTCTCGTTTTTCTCTTCTTGAAAAACATTCTGTTCTTGTTTTGCCCATTCTAACTTGCTAGCCATTGGAACTGCATTGCTGCAGATCCTTACTGAAAAAAAGGAAACTGGTGATGCATAGCAGAGCCCAGTGTGAAAAATGGGTCAGTAGCACTGGTGGCTTAACTTAGCTGCTGCTAGGGCAGTGGTTCTCAATTGTTTTTTTTTTTTTGTACCAGGACCCATTTGTAAAGATTGGCCACTCCCAGCCCACTGTCCCTGGCCCCCCCAGTGTGTGTGGGGAGTGGGGGGCCTCAGGCAGCCCCTTGTAGACTGCAACTCTGTCAGCCTGCAAGGGAAAAAGCCATGGTTTCCCACATTTTTCTCTAAAGGAGAATCCATTTTTAAAGTTTGTTCACGACCCTTTCATATATTCTTGCAACACACTTCTGGGTTCTGACTCACAGGTTGAGAAACACCTTATGCAGCTCCAGTGCAACTGGCTACTGATAGTAGGAGTCAAGGCATTTCCTGGGTGGCTGTGAAGGGTTAACTTCTATGGACTTGACACGTTACACCTACAACTATCAGAAAACCCTCATGGTGATGGTGACTTTTCACTCTTCTATTGTAGGTTCTGAGCTCCATAACAGAAGAAGTGCTGGACCATGTGGGGACTTTCCGGAGTCCTCTGGACCAATTAGACTTCATTATGAAAAAATTTAAAGAAGGTAAAGTGACTGAGCAGATATTCCAAACCTTGGACTCTGCTTGATAGTAGAAAAGCTTTTAAATGTCTGGTGTCTTCCTCATTACACCAATCACTTTCCACATGCACACACTATTGGGATCTCTGGATTCACTCCAGTGGTTCTGTTCCTTGTCTTATGGTTTTATGCCCTTTCTAAAAACAGGCATGACATCAATAGTACTTTCTGGGTGGGGTGTTGGAGGGTGTGAAATGTAGTGTGAGTGTCAAGTGTTTGCAAATATGGTATTCCCGTGTTTAGATTTTAGCAGGTGAGAGTAAACTAAAGGTATGCTGCTAAGGAAAGAGGAGAAAATGAGCATTCTGCCCAGGGTCTTTAAACCCTCCTTCAAAGTTTACTGCTCTTTTGTTGAGCAGTAAGTCTGTTTAATTCATTTTTGTTGGAGAAATTTTGACTGTTTCTAAAAAGCTGTGTGTTCATACATAGAACAGAGCATGGTAAACTTAAGTTTGTATAGTGGGCAGGTGAAGGAGGTTTTTAACGGTTGCTTAAGAGCCTGATCCAGCACCCACTGAGATCAATAGAGTGGTCAGCCCACAGCCTGTGCGTACCACAAGTGACAGTTACTCAAGAGGTCACACAGAGTTTGCTGTGCTGAGGAGGGGAGTGGGACTATCATACTGGGTTCAATTGTGAAGAGAAGGATCAAGCAGGTATCTGTTTAAGAATGGGCTCAAGGAACAGAACTCTTACAGATTTTGAGCTTCTGTAGCCTTTTCCATTAAAAATGAGTGTTGCAAGTGTCAGTGATTTAAGTGTCACATCACCCTGTAAAGTACCAGTGCTGTTGTGTGTGGAAGGGGAGCCCCAGGTACTCAGTAAAGGGAGGTGCTGGAATGGAAGCAAGGAACAGAGCTAGGCCAGGATGCTGCTTCCAGTAGAGGTGTCAGGTGTTACTACCAAAAGCCATGTTAAACTCTTCCCTAGCTTTGCTTCTGCTGCCAAATTCAGGGTTTTGGATCCTCAGTCACCGTATAAAAACTGATGGGACTGGTTATGTACCTTTGGTGCTTGCAAGGCCTTATAGTAATGCAGAATTAATGCAGGTGTCTTGAACACCTGATGTGAAAGGGTGGCAAGGATCAGAAGTATGCTTCAGGATCAGAAGGCAGGAATTGCACAGCCCTGGAGATGGGGTTTCCACAGCCACTGCACTATGGAGGAGAATGAGGCAGAGGGTGTTGGTAAGGGCAGATGGAGACATCCATCTGTTTTTGTTTTTTTTTGCCCTCTCATCTTATGAAGTTTGCTGCATGCCTAACTCCAATTCATGATATGATGGAGCAATTGCTGGAATTTCTGTTCCTCAGACCACTTTTTTCCTGCTTATCCACATATACATCTAGTGAGGCTGTCAGGAATGACCTTGAGGTGAGAAATCTCAGAACCACTAGCAATAATATTTACAAAATCATGGATGACTGGTAAGGGCTTACATAGTGTCAGTCTCTTAAAAAAGAAGGAAAAGGACCTTATAGAATTATAGACCAGTCTTGCTTTGACACACGGAAAGTTACTAGAGCAAATTTTAAAAAGTTCAGCTTTTAAACAACCTGAAGGAGAAAGTGGTTATCAGTAGCGGCCAACATGTATTTAAGAACAACTCGTGGCAAAGCAACATGATTTTGTTTTTTGACAGGATAACTAGCTCGCTGATGCAGAGGAAAGCAGTGGATATAGTATGCCTTTACTTTTGCAGTGCTTTGGACGCAGTCTCATGTGACATTCTCATAAGTAAACTGGAGAAATGTGGACTAGAAAGTATTGCAGTTAGGTGAATACATAACTGGCCAAGTAACCCTTAGTAAATGGATTAATATCAAAATGGCAGGAGGTTTCAAGTGAGGTTCCAGAGGGTCTGTTCTGGGTCCAGTGCCCTTTTTATAAATGACTTGGATTTGGTAATAGAGCATCCTGATCAAGTTTGCAGGTGGTACAAAATTGGGAGGGCTTGGAAACACTTGAAAATAGGATTAAAATTCAAAAGGATCTTGATTAAATTAGAGAACTGGGTTAGAGAGAAAAAATGGAGAGAAAGGTACAGTGATATGCCCCAGAAAAAAAACAACCAAATGCACAGAGAGAGATAACAGGCTAGGAAGTAGCCCTGTCAAGAGGGATCTGGAGGCTTTGGTGGATCTGAATCTCCATGTAAAACACCAACACTGTGACCAAAAAACAAACTTTGTTATGGGTCACACTGATAGAAGTACTGTCACCAAGATGCAGGAAGATGGTATACCATATTTTAAGAAGGATGTAGAGAAACTAAGTTCTCCAAAGATGAGTTGCAAAGATGATAACAAGTTTGGAATGTTTTTCTGAGAAAAGGCTGAGAGAGAACAAGTTATGTTCAGTGGGGAGAAGAGGTGATTAAGAGGGGGACATGATAACAGTTTTCAAATATTTGAATACTTGCTGTGAAAGCACCATTGCCACAGTGGGCAGGATGCTAGGCAATGGGTTTAAACTTCAGCAAAGCGGAGTTAGATAAAGTCTCAGGAGAAACTTTTTAACTGCCAGAACCACAGAACAGTGGAAGCTGCCTTAAGAAATCATGGAATCTCCTTCATTGGAGGTTTTCAAGAAAAAGCTGAGGTGTAAGCATCTGTGTGGAATGGTTCAGGAATACCAAATCCTGCATCTCTGCAGGGACCCTTGAGGTCCCTTTTAAACCTGTGATTCTAATGTAGGAAATGAAAATTCAGGTCCAAAAGCAATATTAAGTATGTCTTATCACACAGTTCATGCTAAATTCTACATTTAGCAATGTACCCTATACTTTGAGGTACCAGTGGCTACATTTTCTGTTATACATACATGTGTGCATGTGAACTCCATGTTGCCATTGGAACAATGACTCTTCCATTTTTGTTGTTGAAATGTTCAATTTCCATCCTGTAGCTTTACCCTGGTGACTATATTGAAGGGGAGTGTGAATGGGAAAGGCTGGCCAGCAGCCTATCACCATTTGTAGCTGTTCTTACAACTTCATGAGTACCAAACTCTAATTGGTCACAATGATGGGTTAGTGGACTTCCCAGCATCCTGGGCAGTCAAACAGCTAATTGTTTTATGAACAAAATTGGGTGTTTCATTTGATGTTCCCATTTCAGGGATACTCTGCAACTCGCCATGCAGCTGTTCCATTAGGAAGATTAGCAGCAAGTGAAGTTTTGAAGATTTTAAAATTCACCCTTTGCCTTATCTATGCCAGGAAGCCACAGTTACTTCTTTAAGTGTTTGATGGAAGAAACCTCAGTAGGCTTCGGATCAATCGCAAACAAAAATTGTATTTTCATTGTTTGAAATTTATCTTGCATGTGTAACTTTAAAGCAGGAGGGAGTTTAGGTCCAGTGTGTACAGCTAAGATGAAATCAAGCCATATTGAGGCTTAGAACTAGAAGCTGTGCAAATCTTTAGTCCGGAAGAAACTTTTGGCAAAGGGAAAGGAAGGTCATGAAAGTAAAGCCTGAGTTGGCAGCAACAGCTGTAGTGGTGATGAGAGTTACGGTGCAAGGTGCTTGCTTAATGCATTACAGATGGTCTGAAATACAGCATGACTGGCACTCATCTCTGTAATGTGAGGAAGCCCTTTCTTAGAGAAAAACAGTATGTAGGATTTGACTAAGTTGGATTCTTCTTGAGCTACAGTGGGGAAGAAGCAGCTCTTTATTTCTGCCTCCTTAGTGTGACTGCTCCCTTGCTGTTTTTGCCCTTGTAGATTCTTCCTTGGAGCTCTATCTCCTCATCCATAACTTGGACAGCCAGATGTTGAGAGGAGACAAAAGCCAACAAATTCTTGCCCAGTTATCCTCCCTGCCCAGCGTCTACCTCATTGCCTCCATTGATCACATCAACGCTCCACTCAGTGAGTCCTCCACAGCCTTTCTGTGTCTTTAGAAAGAAAAAGATCCCTTCTGGCATTAAGTGCGCTTTGAAAATGGCCTTTGTTGCTTTATCTCTGTCCTTAGCTTCACACAATAGACTTAGTGGAATTGGTGTTTTAGTAGCATAGTGTAGCCTTCCTGTGACAAGGCTGTACATACAAAGCTAGCTGCTTGTCTGCTTGCTGTCAAATTAGCAGTAGAAAACTTCTGCTTCTCTGCACCACAAACTCGGAACACCTGGTTGTTTGCCCTGGCACTGCCTAACGCTTGTGCTTGAAGCTGTGTGTAAATTAGTGTTGGGATTGTGTCTTGTTCTGACTATAAATGTCTGGGTGAATATATTGCATGGTATAAGTAATAACTTCCAAAGACTGTGCAGGGGCCTTCAGGTGGCTTACATTGTATGCTTGGGAGAAACTAAATCCCCAGTGTTCTCTACTTTCCTTTTCCTTTTCTGTCTCTCCAGTGTGGGATCAGGCCAAACAAAGCCTCTATAACTGGCTTTGGTATGAAACGACCACATACAGTCCCTATGTGGAAGAAACATCCTATGAAAACTCACTCTTGGTGCAGCAATCGGGGTCCTTGGCATTGAGTTCTCTAACACATGTCCTGCGCAGTCTCACTCCCAATGCAAGGTAAGATATGACTATATATAGTGGTGGCATTTAAAGACCTTAATGCGATTGGGGCCCCTCACTGAGTAGGCTCTGTACATGTAACAGGATAGATCCAGTCCTAAGGTTAATACATTAAACAAGCAAGATTAGGCAAAAAAAAGAGATGGAGAGGAGGAACCAAGGTGCAGGGATTAACTTGTCCTGTGTCAAAAAGTTTGTGGCAGAGCTTGAATTGAACTTTGACCTCCTGTGCATCAGTACAGTGTTTTACCTTGCACACCTGTTTTCCCTCTTATGCTGCCATCCATGAAAAAAATGGGAAGACAGGTCTCTCAGCAGTTATGGATAACTGGTTGGGTGGCTAAAGTTTTAGAGCACCTAGTACTGAAGCTATGGCACAATGTGGCTGCATAGTGATTTGGACTGGTAATCCAACTCCTAGTATCATCACTGGCATATGAGGAACTGTGGTCTCTCATGTCATTTTCTGTCTGCCTTTGTCTGGGTCAGTGGCATATCCCTTGTGAATGAGCAAGTTGGCAGGCATTAAACAGGTATTGCAAATTCATTAGTTTCCCATAGAGGCAATACAGAAAAGCAGGCTTGGGGTCTTTTTGATACCCTGTCTCCTTGTGAGATTTGCCCCCCTCCCTGTTGGCTGTCATAGATTATCCCTGTGGCAGCCACTTATGCTTATGTAGAAAAGTAACTTTTGGAGTAGGTATATATGTTTTCAGCTTCCTTCAGCAGTGCAGTTTAGCAGGTGGAGACAAAGCACACAGTCACTGTTACGTTTACAAGCAAGTATATACCACAGAACCCTAAAACTAGAAAATATAGCTGAAGTGGTTTATTTTGGGAGACACCATAAAATAATTAAATGCCTCTGATTTGAGTAATGCATTGAAACACGTTGCTTGAATTGAGGTTATTTCCATAACTCCCAGTGAATGCTTCTAGCTGGTTGAAATGGGACACGTTCTATGACTTGTATTTTTTGCAGTGCAGTGTACAAACCACAGAATTGCTTTGTATCGTGATATGACTTGCCATTATAGATCTCTTGCTTTTAGTGGGTAATAAAAGAAGAACTGAATGCAGTCTTCAGTGCTGTCTTGGGCTATGGGGAACCCAACTTAATTTGGGCTTTGTGTATAAAGAAGTCAGCCTACTGATAAGTCTCAACTTGTAAAAATGTTTACCTTGGGTTCCAAGTAACTAGAAGCCAAGACACAATGCTCAGATGGGACTACTTTAAATGAACAACATGTGAAAAGTAAGCCTTTCTGTCCAGCCGCTGTGTGCATACAATCCTGTTTGTATAGGAAAAAAAATGACTTAATTTTTATCAAGGCTTTTCTTTTTTCCCCAGGGGGATATTCGGGCTGCTGGCCCAGTACCAGCTGGAGAACAAGGATAATCCCTCTTACCCAGGTACCTGCTTGCATGTGGCATTTCCTTTCCCTGTGTCAGCATTGCCAGAGTAGCTATGTTGGAAGTTGGGTTCTTTTGTTGTAGGTGGTGTTGTCAGTAGCAGATGTGCTGGAAACTATAGAGCCGGTGGCTCCTGATAACAGTTCAGCAGAGTATTGTTCTAGTAGTACTACTCATTGGACTGCATGCCCTGCCCTTTCACAGAAAGCCAGACAAACAGCTGGATTCGTGGAATCTTTTCCTGCTGTCATGCAGCCTGATATTTAATGAACACAAGCAGAAGTTGACTATTGCATAACATCCCGTAGTGAAGGCTGGGAGATGAGACTTCCTATTCTTCCTATTCCCAGTGCTCCCCTTGACTAACTATGTGATCTGTGGCAAGCTCTTAACCTGCTCACTTATACAGTGGTTCATACAGAGTGCTCTGTTAATATTCATTGTCACACTGAAATTTGCATACAAGTGGTGTTCGTATAACTGAGGAAGGTGGAGGAAAAATAGGAGCTGTGCACTGAAAAATGCACTGGCCTGTACATTTAAGGTGCTCTGAAAGTTTCCTTTTAGAATATGGAGGGTCTGGAACTATCAGATGTACCACTAATTCACAAAATCATCTTAGGTTTGGCTGCATCCTTGGAAGAAAGCTGCATGAAATATAGGTCAGAATGTAGAATGTATGCTCTCATTGGATCAGAGGGATGGCTAATATAGTAAGAGATTTCTTCCCTTTCTTCTGAAGGAGTTAATTAAAATTGTGTATCCTAGTATCACTACTTTGTTTTGTTCAAGTGATGCAGGCTTAATACTGGGAGGAGAATCTGCTTTTTCAGGACTGTGTTGGTGGAACAACTCTGCCTCTCTAGCAGACCACATTTATTTTTAGAATCTGCTTTTGATAGTGTTTAATTTTTTCAATAACTCTCCTCCACACCCAGGGCTCTCCTTCCAAGACTTCTACCAGCAATGCCGGGAGGCCTTTCTTGTGAACAGTGACCTCACTCTCAGGGCTCAGCTGACAGAATTCAGGGACCACAAGCTCATTCGAACCAAGCGGGTAAGTTAGAGGAAGCCAACATAGCTACTGTTACACCTGGTGGGTTACCTATTAATGTATGTGCTTGTTGCTGAGACTAAATGAAGCTTCTCTGGTGTTGCTGCTGAGTTAGTCACATTTTTGGGTGGGTATGCAAGAGGACTGAACATCCAGAGATTTTATGTCTACAGATCTCAATGCCAAGAAGGGAGCTGCACATAGCATCTGAATGTTCTTTGCATTGAGACAAGACTGTAAGAAGTGCACCATAGCTTAGTTATTTAGAGCTCTTCCTGGTATTTCTCAGAATCCCAATTGGTTAAAGATCCTGAGGAACAATTTGGATAACTTGGAGATATTCGGGTTCAGAAGTGAATAGGTGACTGTTTGCCAGCTCCAGCAGTGAGGTTCTATTACTTAGTCTTTGAAGTCTGGAGCAATGTGTGAAGTAGTGTGATTCTCAACCAGGGTGCCATACAATGTTTGCACTATTCAATGTGCAAACATAATTTGCAAGATAAACCCAGCAATTTCAAATAAGAATCAATGTTGAAACAATCTGACCTATTGTGGTCTTTGAGTTGTTTGCAACAGAAGAACTGCTTTTATTTTTTCCATAGTCAAAAAGACTGAAAACTAAGAGCTGACACTTGAGGAATGCCTTGACTCTCTAAAGGTTGAGAACCACTGGTGTAGACTATTTTTCTAGCAGTAAACTCCGCATCAGAAAGCTGTGACTGTCCTCCAGCTGTGTTGCTTTCTATCTCCTTGTCCACAGAATTAGCCACTGAAGGCAGGTCTAGTTTTTTTATAAATTTGTTAGTGCATTGAATCTGTGCAGTGGCTCATATTGTACTATTCATCCTTGCTTTCTTTCCCAGGGTATTATGTTAATGGTGCATGTGTCTGTTTACAGGGAGTCGATGGAGTGGAGTATTTATTAATTCCTGTAGAAGTTGGAACCTTGATGGACTTCTTAGGAAAAGAGGATGAAGATGTGTGACGCACCTCTCCAATCCCAAACCATCTATGGCAATTGCTGCTACAGTCTTGCACTCAGATCAGTTCTCCCTTTTGTCAGGGATGCTGATGGACTGTTCACTGAAATGCAATGGACATTTAAAGTTGTCCAGAACTACTTGAAGTTGTTTTGTGTAAAGAGTTCTGTAAGATTGGTCTGCTCAGTCTCTCACCTCAGATGATGCCTTCTTCATATCTATGCAGCCTCCACTATCAATTAAGCAAACTAACTCTTTAGTAAAATTGTGCCTTCAGTACATTACCTCTCCAGAGATGAAAGTTTGGCTGGAGCAGCTTATTTAGGAAGTGCAAATGACTGGATGTTCAAAGCTATATTTTATAATACAGATGCAATTATTCACAGCTAAATGCTTTCCAGTTGTCTGCACACCAGTCACATGGATGGGCTTCCAATGCATGAAGAGGCCAAGACTTAGAATGCCTAAGAAACCAAGCTGAACCAGGCAAGTCAAGTCAGGTAGAATACAAGTAGGCTTGTGAATTGTGGGTAATTTATTAAATCTTTTACCTATGCTGGACACTGACAAGAAGACTGAGGTTTTTCCAAACTCCAGATCTCTATTGAAAATCGTGAATTAGCAGAACTGTAGCCTTTTAAATGACTAGTAGTTGGAGAATCTAAATGTTTAATTTTCTTGCTTCATGGAATGTACAGAAGACTGTGTGTTGTGTGGTTTTGTTTTTTTTTTAATTTGCTTGTTTTTACAAATAACGAGGATGTCCCCTCCCTGATATTCCTGGAGGATTCCTTCAAAGTATTACATACTGAGAACCATCCTAGCTTTGAGTTAGAGAAGGAAGAGTGCTAAAACCTTGACAGCTTTTTCCAAGTATTTCTCAGGCAATTGGGATAACTTAAAACTGTTAATTTCTGTCAGTGTGAATAACATCTACTGACATTTTTATAAGGTTTCTCTTGCAGGTGTGTGTCCATAAAATGCCAGTCCTCTATAGTGCCTTCTGAGAAAACCAGAGACAAACCCTGGATTTCTTGCACATAAGGAAAAATGTGTCTGGCACAGGTGAACAGGGAAGCATGTTGGACATCTTTCAGCCCTTCCTTTTACATCCTACAGAAACAAACATGGGCACAAATGTAACCTTTTCCTGCTTTGTTTGTCACTATTAGGCCTTGCAGTTCCATTGCCTACATGAAATTATCTGCCAGCCAGACATGGGCAACACTTGAAGCCTAATTATATTGCATCCGTGTTTAAGATTTGACCTTTGAATTACCAAAAATGTTGACTAAATAAATGTCATTATTCACTTTTTCTAGTGTGTTTTATGTCCACAGATCTCAGTCTGTAACTTGAAGGTACCACATCTGTCATGTTAGCTGTCTATGCAACATACTCCCTACATTAATGAGGGGTGAAATCCTAACTAGCTAGTATTTTTCCAGACCCTTTTTAAAATACAAGGTATGAAAGTTCAAAGGGGCATCTTCATCCCTTCTCATGATGACACTTAAGGCTTGAAAATGGCTTACATCTGATGTTGAGATTGTGGTTTGCCTAAGATCTCAGAACTCTTGAGTATCTTGTAAAGGACTGCCATCAGGAGGAAACGTTATATGTATTGTTGCTATTATAGCTAACAATTAAATCAGTTTTCAAGTACCTTGTATTGTGTTCAGTCACGAGAGACAGAACTGAATTCATTATGCAGTGTCATTGCCCTTTGTACCCTTAGGTTGGTAAAGGTGTGCTCTCAGTGAAATAGTCTAGTTTATAAAAATGACTTGGATTAAGCACTCTAGTCATACTCCTAACCTTAGCCAGACTTTCCAGGATTACAGTAGCCCTTCTATTCAAGGTAAGATTTTCTGGGCTGCTGTACATTGCTAGTAAAAAAAAAAAAAAAGTTAACTCTGCGTTAGTCCTTGTCTTGTGCAACTTTTAGTTTGTAAAGAAAAGAATGACTTAATTGGCATCACAGACATGGCAGAATGACTCTTACACTTGAACTATATTGAAGTATTTTCCTCAGCGGAGATACTTTATCTCTGGTGAGAGAGAGGTGCAGGGAAATAACAGCAGTAATATTATGATGGGTGGGGGGGGGAAGGGGCTTGGGACTATTCATAGATTGTAGAGTCAGAAAGGCCCACAGTGGATCATTGTGTCCAGCCCCCTGCCAGGAAAAAGGAATGAGGTCAGATGACCCCAGCCAGATGATTATCAAGTCTCCTCTTGAAGACCACCAAGTTAGGTGATAGTACTGCCTCTATGTTGCATATGAATTGAAACCAGAGGGGATACAAATACTGGCTTAATACAGGCTAGTCCCAGCTGGTTGGTCAGAACTTAAACTCCCAAACTCGTAGGGTTGCAGCTTTGCCTCCCCACCAGACTGTACCTGCAGCACTGCTGACTGGGGGAGACGGCAATGTCCCAGACTTCCTTATGGTCATTTTACTTAACAAGTTACGTTAAGGCTTGGGGGACTTGCGGGTCATGATTGACCACAACATGAACATGAGCCTTCAATGTGATCCTATGGCTAGTAAAGCGAGCAAAATGCTGGCTTGCATCCATAAATGCTTCTCAAGCAAATCCCAGGATGTCATTCTCCCATTGTACGCAACTTGGTGAGGATGCAGCTGGAGTATATCCAGTTCTGGGCTCCATACATCAAAAAGGATGTGGAGAAGCTTGAAAGAGTACAGAGGAGAGCCACATGCACGATCAGAGGTTAGGAAAACAGACCTTACAATGACAGGCTGAGAGCTATGGGACTCTAGCTTAGAAAAGTGCAGACTCAGGGGTGTACACCAAGATCTGGGGGAACACTTGTTCACCAGAGCATCCCAAGGGATGACAAGTTTGAACGGTTATAAACTACTGCAATTTCTTCACTGTCTGAGCCCCCAAAGTCTGGAATAGCCTGCCTCTGGAGGTGGTTCAAGCACCTACACTGAATGACTTCAAGAGAAATTTGGATGCTTATCTTGCTGGGATCCTATGACCCCAGCTGACTTCCTGCTCCCTGGGCAGGGGGCTGGACTCAGTGATTGATGATTAGGGCTTGAGGCTATTTTCCCTGTCAAAGCTGGAATAAAATTACAGAAAGCAAACATTACTGATTAAAACCAGCCCTAGCACTTGTATAACATTATTACTATAAGTAAGGAAGCAGCATTTAAAGATAAGAACACAAGCATTTTAATCTCTGTCTACAATGCAGGTAAGAAAACAAGCTGAAATTTCTCATGTTTGCAGATGTAAACAATCTGCCTTAGCATTACATTAACACTATTTTTGCAGCTAAATACCCTTGCTGCCTTCCACAAAGCTAATGCCAAAGTGCAGGGAGATGGTTAGAGTCTATGAATGACCTATAAACACAAGTAATTTAAAGTTTACGAGGAAATTTGCTGCCACTGGTCCAGCTGTGATTTGGGTCTACCTTTCTAACCCTAGTAAAATGAAGTAAACTTAAAACACGGAGACCTCACTATTGTATTTTTGTCAACTGAATTTAAACATTCTTAATATCAAATACATGTTGCTAGAGTGCTGATGTACTTACTTTCTCTCCTATCCTTAGTGAAGAACAGCAGAGTAAAGCATTGAAAAAGCCTTTAATTTGTGAGCCTGAAAAAAAACAGTATTTTTCTTTATTTATCAGATATTTCCTAAAGCATAGGAGACACAGTACTGTCCAATCATTCTGGACTCCATGCGGTGAACTTTGCTTTCTTCTATGCCAGTTGAAGAGGGTCTCTATCAATTTCTGACACAATGATATTAACTTTATTTTCTAGGTGGGTGTCCAGCATGTCTCGCAGCTCCAACAGGAAGCCTCGCTCACTGTTACTGTGCTCACACAGAATCACACTTATCCCATTGCCAACAACATCCAGCACTTCATGGTGGGACATCTCTCCTGTCAGCATGAGAAGAGATACCCCATACAGTACATAAGACTACAGTATTTGCAGTTCACTACACAGTATAATAATTTATAACATCAAATAATAATTTAAATGAACCACAAAGAAGAGTAAAAATTAATTTTTTTTTAATAAAAATTCTTTCACCCTTTCTACTCCTTGCATTCCTCTATTTTGAATCCTCACTTTTTAAATTGAGGTTCTAATGGATGCACCTTCTTGTGTTTTTATAAACATCTTGAACATGGAACATTTAAATCTTTGGGAAATGTCTGACTTTGGTTTTCAGAATATTTTGTAATTTATCCTAGGTGTATTCAAATGTTGCTAACTAGTTCCTTGTGAACAGTAAGGTTTTTGTTTGTTTGTTTTTTGGGGGGTTCAGCCAGATGCACAATAATTAAGTCTCTAAAAGGAAGTTGAGCACTTCTCACCCACAGGATTCTTTGTAGAAAGAAAAGAAAAAGAAAAAAAAAAGCTTTTTATTGTATTTTCTCTCTTCCTGTATCTTGGCTCTGGCTGCAATTCATTGTGCCCACCCTTATGGATCATTACTGCAGCTGGCAGAGCTCTGCAGGCTGTATCTGTATGCAGGCCTGAGGCTTTATTTTATTTTATTTTACACTTTGTGATTAGAAACACTTACCCCATGATTTTGATAAATTTAGATGTATACACATGTAGACAGGTTAAGTACAGGCATCTATATTATTATGCATAAATGAATGTTCACAGTGAACTAGTCCTGGGAGTCCGGTAAGCTCTCCTGGCTGAATACAGAAAAAAAAGTCTCTCCTATCCAGCATTTCTATCGTACCTGACAAAATGAACAGTTCAGCAGTAGACCCATCTTACTCCTCAAAGTATTTGTTCTTTTAGTAACTGATTATTCAGCAATGATACCTGATGCCCTGTCATGCCAGGTTCCTTCAGCAGCCAGACTACTCTTTGTCTAGTAAATATTTTCATAAAAAAAAAAGGATGCAACAAGAACAGGTTTCATACCAGTGAGATAGAGGTCAGCTTCCACACCCTGCAGGACACTTCTTCCAGAACCAGCACACACAGCAACTGTCCTTATTTGGGATTCTGCATGATAACAAAAGCCACAATTAAATTCCCACCCTGTCCTTCAGCCTTGATGCCAACACTGACAAGATAATTTGAAGTGCTAACATTCTGTCTTGCTCTCAGGACTAGTGGAAATGTGTTGGATGCAGGAAAGGGATTTTAATTTGGAGGTGGATGGGCCAACCACTTCTCTAGGAAGAGAGCAAGATGCCTTGAACACTAGAAAGTGTTGATGCATGAACTACTCAGCACTCCATCCTGCATGCTACCAGAAACCTTCTGAATTGGTGCATGGAGAAAGAAAGATACTTCTACATGGCACTACTGGCCACTATAGTTTGGTAACTACACCTTTCAGACTCTTGTCTGAAGTAGGTGTCACACCCTGAATTAGGCACTTTAAAAGCAGTGACTACAGTTTCTGAATAACTTGCACAAAATATGTTTTTCAGTTTAAATATACTTGCGCGCATTACAGGTAGATTATAAACGAAAGATTATCTAGTCTTACAAGTTACACCTCTTGAGGAATGACAGCATTTCTATAGAGGTTAAGATGGAAAACTGAAAAAAGATGATCTGGGCTCTGTTTCTTGGTTTTACTATTGCCTCATGGTTTGACCTTGGACATATCACTTTCTCTGTTCCTCAGTTTATGCCCCTCTAATCATGGATATTTATACACATTTGCAAGGTGCTAAAATGTGCTTGAAATATTAAGGATTCTGTAGTTTTTAAGTCTCAATTATGTTGCTATGTATTCATTCTAGAATTATCATTTCATGGTAACATTTGTCCCCAGAGATCTTGGGAAAAAGTTTAAGACAGGAGAAACTATTGTACAAACCATGAAAAAGCTAATCCATACTCTGCTTGTGCACTTCCTCCTTCACAGGGAGGACCAGTGCAATGCAAAACTCCCCTTAAAATACAGACTACATTAGGAGCAGACTTTCAATGATTTGTGTAGCATAGTAATTACTAAATTAGTTAGTTGTTCCTTGAACAAACAGCTACTTCACACAAGGAATCATACCAGTCCTAAAGAGAGGATACAGCAGCCTCTTTCCCATTCATGTGCATGCTAATTGTATCCAAGGGGCACCAATTATGGTGAAAAGTCATACTTGTAGGTTTACCTAATGTCTTTCCCACACCAAGCGCCAGGCGGACGTAAGACAATTTTAGGTAGTTTTTGATTCGTTCAATTAAGGCTGACAGGGAAGCTGGCTCGCTCAGTTTGCATAGACGTCCCATTCCAGTCTGTGGAAGCAGAGGCTGTGAAAAAAACAATGTTTAATGACCATGAGAAAGCTCATGCCAGCTAATCAAATTACTTTTTACTCTACAGGAACTGACACTTGAGGGGTACATTGGAAATAACTACATAGAGAAAGAATTTCTAGGTGCTTTGCAGAAGATTGAAGGGACAAGGTAATCCATTGAGCCTGTCTGCACTAGATGCCACAAATAGATTAAGAGGTAGTACAGGCCACACAATTAACCTCACTTTTTTTGCAAAGCATAAGTGCTCTCAAGTGCCCCAATGTCAGTGGTAAGGAAACCTGAGAAAAGGCAGCATAAGGAAGCTTGCATTGCTGCTAATACATTTCTTGTTCTGGGGGTAAGCCGTTTTACTCTCTAGAGCCAACAACCTAGCACCTTTCACAAACATTACAGGCAATTCAGTGAAAGGGGGAACAGCTGTAAAGTTTATTACCTTCTGTAACAACAAGATCTCAGTCATGTGATAAAGACCATTCTGGGATAATAATGACATTACATCCTGCATTGCCTTTTCAGTACAGTTCAGACTGACTCGTGTCTGGTCCTCACCTTCAGCCCTGCAAAATAACAATGATTTTATTTTTTTTTAAAGATGTCAGAATCTAATGAACAGAACACAGAGCTCTCCTATTAAGAGTAGAAGGGACAAGGTAACAATGCAAGAGAAGAGACACAGCTCAAGAAATGCCTTTTTATAGACTCAGTAATGGCAACCCTACTCTCCTCCTCCAAAAAAAAAGGAAAAAGGAAAAAAGAAAAAAGGATTGCATTTATCAACAAAATGACATGCTACAAAGAAATCCTACTATCACTAAACTTTGGTATGACTAAGCAGATCAGGTAAGACCAGCAGACTGACTAGAAAGAACAAGTGATGATAAAAAAAAAAAAAAAAA